AAGCTCCTCACCTCAAATGTCATCTCTTCTTCAAGAAAACCTGCACCGACCTCCAGGGAGGGCCTCACCAAATACTCATTTGCACTACCTCCCCAACTCAGACTCATGCTTCTCCATTCCTCCCCCGCCACTCCTCACTCCCTCCCAGTGGCTGTGAATATAAGTCACACAGGGCAGGGCCCATTTCTGTTTTCATCTTTTCTTATTCCTGGAGCCTTGGATAAGGCATAAAATGTGTTGAACAAGTGAATGATGATAGAGCTTTTAGTTTTTCCATGTTCTTAAGAGTTATGGTAGCAATGAAAATAAAATACGCAAAGAAAACCAACATTGCTGGCAGAACAGGCTCAACCTTCAACAAAAAGAATGTATGGATTCAATTAAATCAGTAAAATTTAGAAGCAGGGGGATGGACTGTTTACTATACTCAAGTGCAGGTGCTCTTCTGGCAAGAGCACTTAATTCAGCATAGGATTAGCACAACTGTTATGTAAGCAGACAACTGTTCTTTCTTTTACTCTGTCAGCCCAAGAGACAGTGTCTTAGAATTTCTTTATGAATGGAAACTTCTAGACAAGACCACAAATAAGTTAGTTTCCTCATTCTTCTATTTGCTCTTCTTGCTCCACTGTCATTCAGGGTAATTCTACATCAGTGGGTGACCTCAAAGAAGCATCAATTTTCTCTTATCCCAACTATGGGTAAAATGTATTATTTTTACCTCAAAATATGATTTTAAACAACAGATTCCAAGTCTAGTTATGTGTGGGAATGTATGTGAGAAACAGGTCCAGTTCCTAGCCTCTGGAATTGGTTCTACTTAGGGTCTAAATTTAAACAAAAATTGTTATTGGCATGTGTATGTGTGTGTGTGTGTGCGTATGCACATATGTGCTGTGTGTATGGGTATGTATGTGTGTGTGTATGTACTCTCTCTTTCTCTCTCTCTCTCTCTCTCTCTCTCTCTCTCTCTCTGTGTGTGTGCCATAGCACCCATGTGGAGGCTACAGAGGACAACTTTCAGGACTTAGGAGTCCTTTCCTGCCACCACAGGCTCTAGGAACAGAACTCAGGTTGTTAGGCTTAGCTGCTGAGTCATCTCACTGGCCAGGAGCTGACTTTCATAAAATGCGTTATCACACCGAAACAGCATCCTGAAATAAAATTCCACACCTGTATCCATGCATCAAGAGAGGCATGATATCCTGTAGCTCTTTAGTGTTGCCTGGACAGTGCCCTAGCTTCAGACACAATAGGGTTTACTCCTCAGACAAATGGCCCAGCTAAGTTAGCATTTCCTAAAGCCCCTAACCACAGCTTGACGTTGATCTCATCTAACTTTACAGGAAAGGCTCACATTAGAGTGACTTTAGCGGTTTTTGGCTATAGGGATCCTTTCTTTTTTATTAACCTTCAGTATCTGAAGTCATCTGGGCTTTGGCAATTTTTCTAGTCACTGCCCCATCCCACCCCCTTCCCCATCCTGACCCCCACATAAATGAAGAGGCAGTTCATGAGGTTGTTAAACAAATTCTATTCAGTAGCTGGAAAAGTCAATTTCCTGTGGAATGACAGGAATTACATAGAAGCAAGCAATTTCATTTTCCTCAAATGTAGCAATAATTTTAATCTGTACATACATAAAACAAACAGTGCAATTATAAACCCTCGAAGGTGACATGCATACTTTAAGGTGCGGTGGGGATGGGGGAGGGCGTTAGCATCTCCAATTTTCCATACTGCTTTTCTCTTCTAGGTCCTTATGCGAAAGCACTGAGTCAGGAAACTTCATCTGGAATGCTGAAGTTAAAGGTGAACTTCCTGAAGTCTGAACACTTACCATCACAAACAGGGGAAACGACCTCCTAGAGCAGTTTGGTAGGAACTAGAGTAATATGGCTGGGCTTTCAAGCTGGAAATGCATGAGCTCAGGGATGCATTTTCTGAAAAACTAAAAAAGATAATGTCTGTAACTGAGGGTCCTAGTTCTGTTTCATAGTTGCTACCACATGAGCCCTTCCACCATTTTCAAAATGAATAGTTTCTGAATAGATGCTGCTGTTCAATGGAGTTGTTTGAAATTAGGGGTGGTGAGATGCAGAAGGAAGGAAGGACCTGGGGAAATGGCTTCTTCCTTGAAGTCTTAAGTCCATGCTCCTCATCTGCATTGGTTCTTATGGCCTTTTCTCTGCTGTGTGAGCAGAGGTAGCTGGTGCAGAAGGTCAGTGTTGCCGTCCGCAGGCCCAGGGACGCAGATCAAGGTTAGCGCTGGAGGGCTCCCTTGGCCTCTCTTGCGACGCCTTGCTCAAGCTCTCCCACCTGTGGCAGAACTTCTAGCACTAGAGTCAGTTCACTGGCTCCTTTCTCAGGGCCAGGATGAGACAGGATGTGGCAGAGTAACAAGACAACGGGAAAACATGGTACCAATTAGCCTCGGAGCAGAACAGAGAAACTTATATTTGCACTGATAGAAATTCAAATTCCCAAAGTCATTCTGAGACAGAAAAAGCAGATTTTCTCTGAGCGAGCACTGATTTCCCTTCATACAGGCGGCCGGTGACACTCTGGGGTGGTCTGCCCAAGCTCAGCTAGAAGAGCTCTTTCTGGCAGTGCCACTCTGATGAGTTCCAAAGTAAATCCATACATGGCTTCACAGTTACTAGGATAATGTAAATTACCAGCCAAATGTAATTGCAATTCAATCAACATTATATTTCACACACAAATTTAGAAAAATCAAGAGGATGATAAAAGCATAAAATTAAACAGAACAAAATCAATTTCTACAAGAAATCAAAATATATTTACAGTGAGATCTAAGGAAAAAATAAGCTACTCGGATCATAAATTTAATTTTATTTTAAATAACTTTAGCTACCTTGCTGTTAACATAGTAAAAGCAGAAAGAACAGGCTGCTTCTCCCCACAGACTTAATCAGAACATTTTATCTACAATAATTGATAGAACCTGGTTCTTGTCCTTCACCCATCTCATCAAAAAATTATTGCATTTTCCCCCAAACTGCATTTTTTGGATTCCTCAGTGAATATACTCATTTCATCCTCTTTCCTAGAGGCATCTTGGTTTCAATCCATCTCTATAAAAAGGAGAAGGGGTGCATATGTAGAAGCAAAATATTCTCTCGATGCCAACAGATAGAGTTGCTTGGAGAAGCTGATTGTGCACATGAGCTGCCGGGGTCGGGAGGGGCGGCTGTTGGTGGGAGGAACATGACAGCCTCTGGTGGACAAACAGGCAAAGCCCCGTGGGCTCTTCGTCCAGGGCAGGGGCAGGGCTGACCCGGTGGGACAGGGCTTCATCTCCCCTTGGAACTTGTTATTTTGGTTTCCCTCCAAAAGCCTTCATCCAGATAAGAAGCCAATGACTGATTATAAAAATAAGAATAATTAACTTTTGGCTCAAGAATTAAGATTGTCCAACTGTTCTGCCTTGTTATTCTTTTCAATATCCAAGGCCTTTACAAAGAAAGAAACAAAACCATCTCTCAATCTCCCAACAAAAATGAACTCTTTTTTTTCTTTTTTCTTTTTTTTTGCTCCAAATGCTATGACCTGAAGAATGGCTGCAGATTGAGATATCAAAAATCTCAGAAAAATATATAATATATTTGTATAACTCTGCATGTCTATTATTTAAACTTCACATTCCTTTAAAAGTGGTTATTCAGTCAGTAGCTGCTGAAGGAGGCTCTTCTGCTGGGCCTGGGGGGTCTGTGGTCCTGATGTGGGTTTTTGAGTTCCCAGTGGACCAGGCTGGTTCAGGTAAGGGTCCCCGCCTACCAGATTCACTGTACACTGGACGTCAGCAAACACCTGAACCTGTTGCACCTGCTGGAACACAAATAAAAGATGTGTTTAGACAGAAGGGCCTGCCCCCCCGGCTTATGAGTGGGTACTACTGAAGTGGGAACTCACTAGAGCAATTCCTCTAGTCTGTAGTCACCACAGAGAAGAACTCTTCTGTCTTCTTGTCCTACAAAAAGAAAATCGCTGCACTCATTTTGCTCAGGGTTCTGGAAAGTTCACACTTAAAAATAAAACCCAAACTGGAATGGTCACGCCTCCTACAGGGTTGCCATCTACACTCAGTGTGTGGTCCCTAATATTACCAAGGCTGGGGTAAGCCCAGTTTCAGAGTTTGGGAATACAGTGGTGGGTTTCAAAAATAGCATGCTAATTGGAAAACTAGTTCAAAATCATTCTATGGATGACGTTAGTAGGAAAAAAAATCTTTATGTCTCTGAGAAATAAGGGCTTTAACTTAGTATTAGCAAAATAAAACCACCACACTCCACACCAACACCAGCATCACCGAGGTTTGTATCAGATGACCAGTGTTGTAAACTGTTACACAGCTCCTTCACACACTGGCTTCAGACTTACATCAAATACTAGCAGAGAAATTTTGTATTTGGGTTCCCCCTCATAGACAATTTCCTTAAATACATGAGCTAAAAATAACAATAAATATCAGCTGAGAACAGTGTGAATTTTCCCTTTACTTGCAGTAGTAATAAATGTATTCCTTAACAATGTCTAAAGCTGCATAGTTCTGGCATCTCCTATTGGAAAACAAAGCCAGGTAGTAGTCCTCCCAAGAGCCTTATCAAATGTTGTCTACAGAACTGATTAGCAGGCCACACTTCTGAATGCTCCAGATGAGGAAGAATTTTGGACATTATGCTTCATGTTTAATAGGTTGTAAAGGATATCTCTTTTTTTTTTGTCATTTATCCTCTAATGCATGCCATTTACATTTAGCTTTTCTGAAAAATTTTCTATCCTCAATGGAATACAAGTTGTTTTCCTTTGCCTTCATTGACCAAATGGTCAGTCCCGACCATCAAGTTTCTGTATCAGGCTAGCCTGTGGTTTCTTTTTTTTTTTAATTTTATTTTACTTATTATGTATACAACATTCTGCTTCCATGTATATCTGCACACCAGAAGAGGGCACCAGTCTCATAACAGATGGTTGTGAGCCACCATGTGGTTGCTGGGAATTGAACTCAGGACCTCTGGAAGAGCAGCCACTGCTCTTAACCTCTGAGCTATCTCTCCAGCCTCTAGCCTGTGGTTTCTTACTCTCAGTCCCTTTGCGTGCCCACTCAACTCCTCTCTGAGAAGAAGACAGCCTTGGACCCTTCAGTGTCTGGTGAGTTGGTTAGGCTAGCATTCCACCTTTTCCACCATCCTCTGTCACCAGCTTCTCAGGGATTGCTCCTGGCTTTACTGCGACCTGGGGCTCCTCCTTCCAGCTTGCTTTTTCTCATGAATTTACCACACTCCATCTTTGGTTCTGTGTCATTTGCATGGCATGCTCTGGAGCTACCATTCCTATTCTTTTTCTTCTCCAGACTCGGGGCCTTCTTTTCTCATAGCAACCTCCCAGCCCACTTCCTGCTTCTTCACTCTGTGTTCCTTTTCTTTTTCTTGGCTGGCTTCCTATAGCTGGTCCCTGGGACTCCTTTGTCACTCTTCTCTGTATACTAGTCTTGATAGTTCTAGCTAACTCACGTTCCAGTTTCTTTGGTAAACACAGAAATGAGATAACAAGATGGGCTACAATGGAAAGAAGATTGCGCCACTGGACCTTCATGTGAGTACAAACAACCATGCTTTTTAGGCACTGATATTTTACAATCAACACAGAAAATTTTATGTTTATTTCTTTCTAAGTATGAAATACTGGGGTGGAACATCTAAGGTGGTTTTTCTTCCCTAAGTATTATAAACCAATCTTGATAAAGAAAGGAACCATAAAACAAACTAGAGAGAAAGTTCTGTTTCTTTAAAAATAATATTTTAAAAAGAGTGTATAACAAGTTATAAAGACTAAGTCAGATTTCAAAACTCATGTTAGCCTGAGACCAGGTCTCAAGGTACTTTCAAACTGCCACCTCTGTCCAGTCAGGCACATGGCACAGGAGGAGCTGAAGGTGTCTGGAGGGGATGGAGAACTCAGCACTAGACTCTCTGAGTTCCCAGCACACGTTTGACTTTAATTCAAGCACTGTCTGATAACTCTAGGACCTTAAAAGATGCTTGTTCTGCATTAAATAGTTTGTGATGCCTCCTGGGACATGTCTCTATGAGGGTGACTTTCAGTTTCTAGTGAATGAAGACTGTCTTCTATATCTCCGTCACAAAATGCCCATTCTTTATCTCATAGAACTCAGACATACTTCCTACAGCTCCTTGTCTGGACACAGCCTCCTGACTCCCCTTTCCCATTCAAAGCCCCCAGCAGGCCCTCCTTCACCTCTTCCAGCGAAGGTAAGTCCAAACTAGTGTGTTATCAGTGGTCTCCTTCAGGGATGACTTTGTCTATAGGACAGAGCCTGATTCCTTAAATAAGAATTCAAGTTATCTAGAAATTTGATGCCATCTACTATAACCCTTTTGATCCCTGTGATTCCTAATCACAAACTTTTTAATGCTCAGAAGATTTGGCTTCTTATAACTATGTGAAGACATTATTATTTCCCTGCCTCTGGCTCCCAACAACTGTCATTCTTTTCTCCTTCATGTGGCTTGAGAATTGTTCAACCTGTTTAGTCTATCTCCTGCGTAAATGTTCTCTGTCCATCCTAGCTTAACTCCCTTCTTTTTTTTTCAGTACTGGGATGGAACCTAGAGCCTTCCATGAGGTAGACAGGAGTCCTACTACTGAGTTGTATGCCATCCCATTTCTCCTTTCTGAGAATGCTTGGTTTTTGTTATTTACAGCATGCATTTGGTAATCTGCTTTCTTTGGTGACACGACAATTTATGTGCATGTATCTGTGTGCTATATTTTGAACAGGCTCTAAGAAGACTTTGGTACTGGGAAGATCTGGGTCTGAACCTCCCCAGCTTTGTGAATAATGAACATAATTAAAGATCCTCAGGTCCAGTTTCTTCATCTGTGAAGGAAAGGACTGTGGCCTCCAGAGTTATAATGGAGGGTTAAATGAGATAAAGCTCACAATGGGGAGCACAGTGCCCTGCAAATCATAAATGTTATAGTCAAGACATATGTATTTTACTTTCTGTACCACGATGCCTATGTTAATATTAAAAGACTGAAGACTAAATCAGTGGCTGAAGTGAATTAACTCCACTCCCAAATTTCTGCTAATATAGAGACCACCTTGCTATTTGTGCTGCTCAGAAATGCCCTGCTAAGAAGGTGTAGTACCCAGCAGGTGCTGCTTTGCCTTAATGTATCGGATGTGTTGAGATCTTTGGTTACAGTGTTTTAGAACTTTGATCTGCAGACTTTATAACATTGTTTAGTCACATGTGAGTCTATCTGACCAAGAGCTGGTTAAGTCCTTAAAGCTTATCTCATTTAACCCTCTCAACACCCTGTAAGCAAGCATCCCCGTAGTATACAGAGGTCCCAGAGAGTTATGTAAAATCCCCACAGTGCCACTGCTGACAAGGGTAGACTTCTGGGGTTTGGCTCTCAGTCACATGCTATGGGATGTCTTCCACGAATCCAGAGTGCCCCTGCCAGCTCTGCACTAGGGCTTTCTTTCTTACTGACCTGGTTCCCATCTGCTTCTGTTTTGAGAAGGTCAGTGGATGAGAGTTGGTTGCAGTAGAGGCCTGTGTGTCTTAGTGCTGGATCATTCATCTATTAAAGATAAATAAAAGACCAAGTTATAAGCTAGCTGTGTAAGCTGAAAACCATGTTTTTTTGTTTTTTTGTTTTGTTTTTGATTTTTTGAGACTGGGTCTCCCTGTGTAGCTTTGGAGACTGTCCTGGAACTCATTCGGTAGACTAGGCTGGCCTCGAACTCACAGATATCCACTTGCCTCTGCCTCCAGAGTGCTGGGATAAAAGGCGTGCACCACCAATGCCCGGCTGAAAATCATGTTCTGAATGAGAAGACCAACAAAGTACTTGGGGGACTGCTAACCTAACAGCAATTTATCACACTGCCATTCATCAGTCAGACAGGAGCTCCCTGTGGGTGGAGACTGTGGGGACAGATGCTGGTGCTACACTGTTTCTGACCTAGCTGTTACTTGGAGTGTTTGCCTTGTGAAAATCATGGATTGTCTACTTTTCTGTATATTGTAATATCTGATAGTTGAATAAAAAGTAAATTCTTTTTCTCTATTTCTCTGACTCAGTCTGTCTTAATTTCCTTGTCTCCCTCTCTGTTCTCACATACAGACACACACTCAAGCTGATTCACCACCTCAGTTAAGACTAAGGAACAAAGGTCTGGAGAGGTGTGGTGCTCCTCCTGCAGAGGGTCTCATTTGAGTTCTTAGCACCCATATCAGGTGGTTCAACCCATCTGTGACTCCAGCTCCAGGGGAATCAAGACCTCTGGCATCAGCAGGCACTGTGCTTACATGGGGGTACAAGTACCCGCATGCATGCACACATGCACATACACACACACACACACACACACACACACACACACACACACACACTAAAATAAATCTTAAAAAAGAATCAGTAGCAAAGATCATATTCATACCACTGTCTGAGTCCACCAAAACCTAGATAGGGTAAGAAACATAGGCATTCAAGATACCAGACAAAGGCAATGCAGGACACTGAGCTCTGAGATCTGGGAAACTACTGGGAACTTGCTCCTGTAGCAATTTCCTCGTCTACAGCTGAATGCATCCTTGAGTTAAGAAGCTGATGGAACTCGAATGGCAGAATGTCAAAGGAGAAAAGTCCACAGAGACAGGTCTAGACATGTGCAAGGCCCCCTGGTCTTGGCTCACGATGCAGAGGAAAGAGCTGAATAAATGACACGGGATAATTCCAAAGGATTACACAGGCCTAGGACCAGGTCTCCATCTCAACAGCCAGAGTGGAAAAATGTCAGATTTGGGAGGCAGCAGGAAATACAGTAGATGTAATACGAAGGCAAAATTGGACATAGAATGAATACTTCTTTTGTCCCATAAAATAAAAAGGAAGACCTGAAAGGATCAAATTACTTCCAGGGAACAGAATCATTTCCCATAGCAAAGATCAAAACTACTTATAAGAATATAAATGGTAGGCACTGGAGACATGACTCAGAGGTTAAGAACACTAGCTGTTCTGCCAGAGGTCCTGAGTTCAATTCCTCACAACCATCTGCATTGAGATCTGGTGCCCTCTTCTGGTCTGCAGTGTAGGCATACATTCAGGAACTACACCGTATACATAATAAAGAGATCTTTTAAAAAAGAATATAAGTGGCAAATTTCGTAGTTTTGTATTCAATAGAAAAATTGCCAGTCATATAGAAAACAGACAATTATGAGCCATAATAAAAATGAAAACCAATGAACTGAAATTAATCCCCAAACAGTTCAGGTGATAGGACTGATAGGTGATTTACTGATTAGGTGACAGACTGATTTAAGATAGCTGTAATAATTGCATCCCTGTGTTCAAGAAGAAAGAAGAGCTCTTACTTTGCCATCACGAAGTCCTACAAAGGTAGAGGCTTGGAGTACTCAAGATTCAGTTTCTCATAAACTTACTGCTATACTCAAGGAAGGCATTGCTGGTAGAGGTGTGATGGATGTTAACACTGACTACAGGAGGGACTGAAGAGCTCCCTGAAGATATCTACAATGACCTAGGACATGAATTGTGAAGTTGCTAAAGCCTTAGACAAGCCCACTCTGTGTGCTTGCATCCAACTGTGATAAGCTGACATATGTCAAATTGGTGGAGGTCCTTTGTGCTGAGCAGCAAATCAACCTAATTAAGGTTGATGGCAACAAAAAGCTACGCTTATTGGGTAAGCTTCTGCAAACTGATTGATGGTTGCTGTAGTTGTATAGTGGTTAAGGCTGTGGCAAAGAATCTTAAGCCAAGGATGTAATTGAAGAATACTTCAAATTCAAGAAACGAACAAATTAAAAACCTGGCTCATTCAAGAAAGAAAGAGAGCTGGAAAGTTGTCTTGGTTTCTCATATAATTCATAGGGCAAGATGATTCAGCTGGCAAAGAACTTGCTGCACAAGCCTGATGACCTGAGTTCGATGCCCAGAACCTACATACAAGTGGAAAGGAGGTGACTCGAAGCAGACAGAGGAAAGATGAAAGATATGCTAGCAATCTGAAATAGTAAACAGATTCACCTCTAACATCTACATACTGAAATGTCTGAGATGAAAAACAATGGACAAAATGAGCAGGTTAGACAATGAAAAAAATAGTGAACCTTAAGCTATGGAAATAGAAAGTATTTAAAACAAACACACAAGGGCCTGGAGATGTAGCTCAGTTGAAAGAGTTTTTGTGAGTGTGCAGGAAGTCATGGATTCAATACCCAGCACTTCATAAAGAAATCAGATGGTAACACATGCCTCCAATCATTATATTTGAAGAGGCAAGAAAATCAGAAGTTCAAGGTCATCCTTGGCTGTGTAGTGAGACTGAGGTCAGCCTGGGCTATATGACCCACCCACCGTGTGTGTGTGTTCATAAGTGACAGAACTTCATGCTAAAATCAACCGCCTTCTTCATCCCCAGGATATCACTGAATAATGGGATACCTTCAAATACCTACTATATGTGTGACTGGGGCAGGGGGTAATGACAGAAAAGAAAAGTTTGGAAAAAAAGAAAAGTTTGAAGAATGACTTACATTTTCCTAAATTTGATGAAAATTACACATTTGTGGACCAAGAACAGAAATAAGCCCCAAGAATAAGAAACAAAAGCACATCATAATCAAATACTTAAACTCTGTTACTAAGAGAATAAAATGACAGTGGAAACAAATCCCTCATCAGCATGAGTGTGAGGCAGCATCTTTTCTTTACAAAGTGTGAAGTTAACACTGCCATACTGGGACTCAGGGAAAGTACTTCCAAAGATAAAGCAAACATAAAAAGCCAAAAGAACCAGTAGCAGAGCTGCCCCATGATAAGCACTACAGGAAGAAGGGAATCATACCAGACCAGATGAGAACTGGAATTACACAAAGAACAAAGGAAAGTGAACCTGATCACTACATGGGCAAATATAGAAACATTACTTAAAATTTAAAAACAGTTGCTGTCTGAAGAAAAATAACAACACTGTAGTGAGATATAGAACATATGTAGATACAATATGAATGATAGCATACCATAGGAGTGGAGTATGGAAATAGACTGTTACAAGATTCTTATACCACATATGAGGTGATTTAATATCACTAGAAGATGGCTATGATAAGTGAAAGAATATAAACTATAAAGCAAAGATTAAGATAACCAAACAGTTATATATAATAATGAATAAACCAACAAAGGAGAAAAAACAAAGAAACATTCAATTATACACACAAAAAGGTAAAAAGAGGACAAAGCAAAAACAAATAAGATGGGCCATTTAAACCCAAACATACCATGGGTGGAGAAAGCTTTTAATTCCAGCACTCAGGAGGCAGAGACAGGTAGATCTCTATGAGTTCAATACAAGCCTGGCTTACATAGTGAGTTCTAGGCCTGGCAAGACTATATAGTGATACCCTGTCTCAAAAAACAAAACAAAAAAGAACCCCACTCATACTAATAACCACATTAAATATACATGGACTAACCAATCTAATTAAAAGACAAAGACTGTTGAATTGAACAAAAAGGCAAGACCCAACTATATAAAGAGTACCTGTTAGATATAATATTTTTACCCAATTCATTATATTTTGGTTGGCATATGCCTTTAATCCCAGCACTCAGAAGGCAGAGACCAGCAGATCTTGTGAGTTCAAGGCCAGCCTGGTCTACAGAGAGAGTTCCAGGACAGCCAGGGCTACACAGAGAAACCCTGTCTCAAAAAACAAAAAGAAAAATCATCAAAAAATTTATTACATTTTGTTTTAATATAATAGAGATAGTGAATAATCCTAATAACTGAATAGTAACAAAGATAAAAATAATTCAATTTTGTACCTTTATTTTGCTACAAGATACAGATCACAAGATGGGCATGGAAGTACTCAGTACAGGAAGGTACAGGAAGGAGAGCAGGAGCTCAAAGCCATCTTTATTCACATAGCCAGTTATAGACTAGCCTGGGCTATATAACACCTTATCTCAAAATGAAACAAATCATTAAGTTACTGG